TAGTCAAATGGTTTCAGGGCTATCCCTTGTCTCTGTGGTTGTGATGCTCATTCAAAGGTAAAGAGCAACAACAATAATAGTAAATAGCGGCTCGGTGGAGAGATGGCTCAGTGGCTAAGAACACTTAGTGCTCTTGCAGAGAACTGAACTCAGTTCCCCGCACCCACGTAGTGACTCACAACTGTCTGTAGCTATAGTTCCAAGGGGTCTGACCCTCCTTCAACTGAACTCCATCATACACACATGCCAGCCAAACCCTCATAAACACGAAACAGAAGTTCTCAAAAAGAACAATAACAAGGAGAAAACTTCTGGATTTTGAAGCCAAATGTTAATTTTGGAGTGTGAAGTAGTCAGTAGGTTTCAATATCAAGACTTCCTTTACAATAACAAAAATAGTTCTAAGTTTGTTTAGCTCTCATAAATATGTTAAAAATAGTGCTGATAAATCAGACAGCAGGGTTTTATTATGGAACATGAAGATGAAATGCTTGATCTACCCCCCCCCCAAATCTGGTAAAATTTAAATTAGAAAAAAACAGAAAAGTAATAAATTAGTTAATTTAGAAAAATATAATCTTTTTCTCTCATTTAGCACTAGAAATGTCCATGAACAAGACAGTACTAATCAAATTTCATAAGTATCCTTTAGGATTCCTAGAGCTAAGCATTTAAAGAGTCAATTTAAAGAATCATCACATGAGAGAAAAATCCCAAAGCCAGCAAAGATCAATGTCAACAGAACAGTAAAGTTCGGTGTGAGTTAACCTATACCTTATTTAATTAGAATACTACAAAGTTTTCAAAAACTTGGAAACCAATATAAAGGTAAAAGAAACATGTCAAACATTAGTGAAGGAAACAGGGGCTGCGAAACTCAGTTCCAGAGGCAGAAACAGGAAAGACCGCCAAGCACAAACATCAAAAGGGTGTTCTTTGGAGTATGTATAAACCACCTTCCAGTTCACTCAAGCTCAGAAATAAACAGTGAGAACAACAACATGGCCAATGATTAGTCACAGGAAGTCCTGTCTCATTGTATGGTGAGCTCTCAGTTTTACAGAGGTGTTAATTGACTCTGTAAGCTTCATTGCTAAAATCAACACAGTGAGAGCCATTCCAGAACTGAAAACCAACTTAGTCAGAAATTAACGTAAGTAAACATTCATCAACAGTCTCAAAAGGTCTCTTTTATTCCAGATTTTTAAAAATTGTTCCTTTCGGTTGTCTTAGTCTAAGCTAAGGAATTAAAGTCAAGAAGTTTATCTCAATAAAGTTCCTTGTGGTTTCTACAAGTTAGGGTAAATTCTTTTCTCCTCACAGTCTGTAAAATATGATGTTTTTGGCTTGCCAAGTGAGAAGTGAATGATTTGCAGTTAGTTAGCTCTCAGAAGCATATCAGAGCAGTTTTCTGGGACTATTTTCTGGGCATTGAGCTTGCTATCCAGTACAACCTTTGTCCTTTCACAGTGGGTCAGGCAGAACTCACAAAATGATATTTACTCCTAACATGCAGCACACACAATAATTTGTGTAATTATATCATAATAAAAACAACAGCAGGGCCAGCAGGGTGGTGGTGGTCCATGCTTTTAATCCTGGCACTCAGGAGGCAGAGGCAAGCAGATCTCTGTGAGTTTGAGGTCAGCCTAGTCTACAAATTGACTTCCAGGACAGCCAGGACTGTTACAAAGAGTAAGCCTTGTCTCAAGCACGCGCACACACACAACAACAACAACAACAGAAAGCAAACATAGGTGTAGATACTTTCGTGACTGTGTGTTGAAATGTTATCACTTTTTTAAAAAGCAGGAAGACTCAGTAACATGGCGGGTCCTGAATACTGAGGCCTCTAGGAAAATTAGTTTTTATTTATGTATACCTTCTTTCAGTTTGCAAAGGCACAATTCACCAAATCGTAGGCAGAAAGCTAGAAGAAAGAAAAGAGGCTTTCTATGCACGCATAAAAAAGAAAGAACATGAAAAAGAGTATTGAGTTAGATTTCTCACTCATATTTAAATCTAAATCCTAAGATAGCAGTTCATTTTCATCCTTTCAAAGAAAGCATCAAACAAATAAAAATAACATCATTATGTGGTACTTCAATAGACGCTTCTATTGTTTTCCAGTTTGACACATTAGATATCATAGCCTATTTATTCATCAGAAAAAAAACTCAGTCATAGCACCCATTTGTGTTTTTCTCTTCAGTCTAGTTATTGTGTATTTCCTGTAAACTCCAGGTGAAAAGGAAAGCTCTGGAACCCTGGGAAAGGGACTGTGTCCTAGGCAGGATCTTAAAGAACCACTGACTCTCCTTAAGATTTCCTCTTGGGGCTGCAGAGTTGTAAGGACTTCCCACATCGATCACCAAGCCTGGTGGGCTACAAATCACACAGAACCCAGACAGACGGTGGAAACAGAAAACCAAGTCCCACAAGTTGTCTTCTGACCTCTACTCATGGTATGCCAGTGTGCATGCCCCAGTGACAAAATAAATGAATTAATATAATAAAATGCTTTCTTAAAAAGCAATGGTGGTACATGCCTAGGCAGATCTCTGTGAGTTCAAGGCCAGCCTGGTCTACAAGGCTAGTTCTAGGACAGCTAGGGCTGTTACACAGGGAAACCCTGTCTCAAAGAAAAAAACAAACCAAAGCCTCTGCTTCCTGAGTGCTGGGATCAAAGGTGTGCACCACCACCTGGCAGGCACCTGAATTTTTAAAACTAGTATAATTTATTTTTCACACTCACTTATGAGTCTATCTATAAATTTGATTCTTATACTCACAGTCTTCTGATTTGTTGGTTTCTGTGAGAAACCACTTATTTTTTCTTTCTCTGGGAATTCTCAGAATTTGTATTTATCTAATTGTTTATCCTCAACAAAGTGACTAACCCAAAGCCCTGCTCTTTTAAGAAACGTTGTAGCAATCACTGTAACGCTTTCCAAAGCTATGAACATTGTTTTGTCAACAAGGGCTAGGGATTTCCACTATCACAGACACAGGGAGCTTCAGTCTCTGGCCCTCCACTCCCTGCTGGAGGTCACAGCATGGAAACTCTCAAGCTCTCATCTTGAGCTCAGGGAGGTGGTCCCTTCCAGAGGGAATGAATGCCTTTCTTTCTGATTTGTGCTTGCAAATAGACACACATACAAGAGACAAGATTTTCTACTCTCTCTTACTTGACAGAAAACACTATCATGTGCTTGACTGGGCAGACCGTGAACAAACTTTGAACCATTGCAGCCACCAGTGGATAATACCTCACCGGCTTTGCAATAGCCACACATACATACAGGGAGGACAGTCATTTTTCATCCTCCCTAATGCTGCGTGGGGACTCCCAAGCCTAAAATCATTTCTATTGCTACTTCATACCTTGCTCTGCTACTGTTATGAGTCATAATATAAATATTTGTGCTTTCTGGTGATCTTAGGCAACCCTGTAAAAGGGTTGTTTAACCCCAAAGGGGTCACGATCCACAGTTTGAGAACACTGATATGGTAGCTGCTTTCTCAGTCAGTTGAAAGTAGCTTTGTGGTTTGATGCCGATGTAGTTGGATGTGTTTCCCCAAAGACTTGCGGGATAAAGACTTCTTCATGGAGTCTGATGCTGTTGGGAGGTGCCCTGAGCTTGAAGAGGTCAGTCCTAGCAGAGGGAACTAGAATATTGTGGATGTTCCCTCGAAGAAGGATGTTCCTCTCGGAAGTGATTCAGAGATGAGCTGGGTGCCCATCCAAGGTGGTTGAAGGAGAAAATCCAAGTCCTTTTAGAGCCAAGGTGTACCAAGGGAGCCCATAGGAACAAGTGGGATACTCAGAACAAATGAAAGCTTTACACTTGGGCCTGTTCTTTGTCCCCCGGCTTGCTTGGGGTTCCCTAAAAGGTAAGCAACTTTGCACAACAGGTGTTCCCTTCATGATGTTGTGATTCACCAAAGGCCCAAAGCAACAAGGCCAAATGACTCTCGGCTGAAACCTCAGGCCAAAATAAGATCTTCTCTATAGAAGTTCATGATCTTTGGACAATGTTGTCATGGTTGTGGAAATGGGACTAGTGCGAATAGCCAGTCATTTCTGTATCTGTGTGGCCCAATTAAGAAAAGGCAGAGATGGACTGGCAGACTGCCAAGAAACAGAAGTAAGCAAAAGGACAGATGAGAAAACAGGCAAACCCAAGAAATAGAGCTTTGACTGCAGGAAAGTTCTAGTGTGGCTTGGGATTCTCACAGGACACAGGAAGAGAAGTGTTAGGTTTAAACAGTTTTTGAGTTGCACTTCTTGAAATCGGCCATCGTTGGTTGTGGCTGGGGAGTCTCTTTGGGCACCCTACAGTGACAGCTTCCAAGAATGCTGAGGCATAATGAAAAAATTGTGGTAAAACCTGGCTTTCATACAACTATCAAGAGGGTCTCAAAGAGATGGGACTTGTCACTGAAGAAAGTAACTAACAATTGTGTTTTAAAAGTAACTATCATCATCACCACTACGTGTTTGCCCATGTGTATGATATATGTCTGGCCATGATATATGTGTGGATATGTGTGCAGAGCACAGATGTGGAGGGAGGAGGGCAGCTTTGTGAAGTCATTCCTCCCACTGTTATGTGAACACTGGGGACCCAGCTCAGGCCGCCAAGCCTGTACCCTAACTTGCTGAGCCAAATGTGGTTTTAAGAGCGCACAAGGCGGCGCTCAATAAATGAAAGAAGGCTGAAATAAGATGGCTAGATCAGATACAAAAGTGATTCATGTCCTTAGGGCCTGTCCTTTCTATTAGACAAACTCTTTACATCTCTGCCTAATAAAAATCCTCAAGTGAAAGCCAAGTGTGGCCACATACTTGGGAGGCCAAAGTCGGAGCACTGCCACTAGCTGAGACCAGCTTGGGCTGCACGGTACCAGGTTACATAACAAGACTTTACTCAAAAGAAAAAGATTGTAACTCCAAAGGTTACCATGTGACTTGATGACTTACGTTGTTTTTCCTTTTTTAGCCAGTTTCTTTGTTCAGTCGGCAAGCATTTGCTGCACACAGTAGTGCATTCACGGATCCACAGGGAATAGTGTATGGTCAAGAAAGGATATAACTGCCGCAGAGGTAAGTTATCATTCGCTGAATCTGTTAGATGATGCTCCATTTGGTTATGAAAGGACACACCATTCTTTTTGCTTTATAGCCAAGGTTTCAAAATCTTTCTTACTAATTTAATATGTTTGTAAACATAGGCATTCTGTGTCTTCAATTAACCCAAGCACTAATATTTCTTTGATAGAAGCTCTACACTGTTTATCAGAAGTTCATCTTCAACCTGGATGTCAGCTGTCACCGATCAGGTGACGCCAAAATGAAATTACTTAGAGTCACCGAGGTCAAAGATTAGAGAGCTAACCATAGCGTTAGAAAGGAATCCAACCGATGCACTGTCAACTATGGGTACAGAGAGTGTTTGAACACATCCCTTTTTCAGGGGATAATGTAGAATACAACTTGAGTTCAGGGAAACTCAGGGATGTCCCGACATGTTAGAAGAGGTAATTAAACAGGCCATGGAACTGGCTTCTATGAGCCCTAGGGTGAGAAAAATTCTGAATAGAAGCTGAAAGAGTTTGAGAAACCCCACGATTAAAGAACTGCAGCCAATTAGTGTGCACAGCCCCAGGGGACCAAAAACTCCTCTTTGGCACCTGGAGGATGTACCGGCTTGGGGAACGCAGTGACCAACCTCTGTGACCCACAAAGGTGTGTGTTTATGGTGCAGCCATGAGCGAAGCTAGCCACGACCAGATCTTTACTCCCAAATACCTTGGGGCAACACAGTTTATGAGAGGACGAGAACTGAATAATGTAAGACTATTCATGAGCTCAAATTAAGCAATTATATGTCTGAACCCCACTACTGCATTAGCAAGATGGGTGACTCAGCCAAATGAGGGCTGTTTAAACAGATCCCGGAGCATTTATACCCAAGGATGGAGAGGTGAAGAAAATGGTAACATAGGACAAAAAAAATTCACGGAGCTATTCCCAGATTTCAGGCTTAAGCAAGACGTAAGCCTGCACTGGTATGCATTTTTGAGAGCCAACGTTTTTTTTTTTATTTTTCTTTTAAGTACAACTTATTAAGATGTATTGATATATTGACGGTATTTAGGTTCTGTTTTAAAGTCCATGCTTTAAAAAATTAACTAGACATAAACCAGCCATGGTGGCACATGCGGGTGAGAAACAAGACCCTCACTCTGTGATGACAAATTAGAGATTAGTGAAAATGAAACCCCTTTTAATATACCATCTGTCAGAAGGAATACCAGCACAGAAAAGGCAAAATGGCTGGTGCGTTGATGTAAGATAGTGGTCTTTAAAGTTGCCAATCGTGGGAACTTCCTGCTCTCTTTTCTCCAGAGGCTGGTACTCTGGAGAGGGGCAACCTTCGCATTCTTCTAGAACAGCCCCTTCCCAAATTCGCCATTCTACTTGTTCAGCCTTATCTAAAGAACATTCTGGAGCTTAAGAGTGTTACTTTTCCTTCCTTTCCCTTTTCTCTGTTTATTGTGGGCTCAGTTCATAGCCGATGGCCTGCAACTTTCTAGCACTCCTGAGACAGCCGGGTAACAGACAGCAGCTGATGCAGAGCGGGGCCTGTGCCTTCTTCTCATCTGTGACTTTTGGACGGGCTCTGAGTACTGAAAATGGACCACAGAGCTTCGTTCTTACTTGTGTATGATGCCAGCTTTCCAGAAAGTGGAAACAGGAGGATTTGGACTTCAGGATCATCCTCAGTGACACAAGTTCAAGGTGAACCTGGCCTACTTAAAACCGTCTCAAACACATACACACACACACACACACACACACATACATACATATATACACACATATACACATATATGTATATATATATATGCACATATGAAATATATGTGTATAATCCCAAAAGGGACAAAGGACAAGAGACCCCTAAACAAGAACAATGGGAAACCCTATAAGTGTAGGGAGGCTGCACAATAGGAAAGCAAGAGCCCGCTCTTCTGGCAATGTGTGTAGAGAGAAGCTGTGTAAAGGCAGAGTGCTTTACCGGGGTTTGACGAGTGAAATACCACTAAGAAACATTGAAAGGAACATGCTAGTTACACTTGGTTAATACAGCAGCACAAATTCCCAGCCAATGTTCGTAAATGACTTACATCCATTCATACTCTGGAAACTCAACTTTCAGGAAGTTCAAAGGGAAATACTCTTGGGTCACCCCCAAAGGTTCCCCAGATCTCACTGTGTTCACAAAAACGACCAGTGTTTACTATCTGTCACGCAGGGGAAATCCACGTCCTTCTCCAGCCACTTTTGCCGTGTCCCCATGATGCCTGCTTAACGCCATCTTACTTACATTTCCACTCCAGGTCTATGGAATACTTCAACAGTGCTTCAACGTGAGCTGGGAGCCTCGTCTACAAATAAGCGCCAGCTGCCTCTGGGTGCTTGTGCCCAACTGTGACAATAGGCCAGCTGTGTAGAAAGCTAAGATTATCCATCTGTATTGCTCATTTGGCCTTATGAATCTCACGTTAATTCCTGACAAAAACAAATATCTGGATATTGGCATTACATGTTTTTCACTGGCATAAGACCAAAGACGCTTAAATGCTAAAGAAAGTTAATCCTGAAGCATGATTAAAGCACATTTGACCCTGGCATTCAGTGAGAGTCACACTATATGTAAATCATGTAGAGATTGTCAACTTGACCTACATTCCAGTGACATTTTTTTTTTTTTTTTTTTAGCTTAGAAAGAAAGTTAATGGACTGGCGAGGTGGCTCGGTTGGGAAAGTACAGTGTTTCAAAGCAGAGGCAGGAGGACCCCTGAGGCTCACTGGCCGGCCAGTTTTGCCGAGTTCCTGAATGAGTTCCAGGTTCAATGAGGGACAGTCTTTAACAACAACAGGAAAAAGGTGTGGGGATTGGGAAAGACACACAGGTTTGAGCCCTGAAATTCACATATGTGTGTACATGCCATGTACATCCTCACACACACATGCCCCCAGAGGAAGAAAAGGGAAGGAACAGCTAATGTTTTACAATCAGATTAAAATTGATCTCCTCAGATGTGAAACTCTTGGCAACTCTTAATTTCCTGTAAACACTGTTTTAGCTCCACACCCAATTCTCATATTATAGATTTTATTGATATAAAATTAAGTACTTTCTTACTTACCTGTCATTCATTTTCTTCACTATGGAAAACTATATTAATTTCTAAGTACTTAATATTTTTCTAAATATCTTGTCTAATAATTCCTAGAATGTAATTAGAAACTATAGCACCTGTTTTCAAATCTCTTGAACGTGGTGAGGTTTGCCTCCTAGACAGAATATGGCTGCCTTTACGAATACGCCATGTGTACTTAAAAACATATTGGTGTCTTGCTCTATAAAATGTCAAGTAGGTTATGGTGGGTTCTAGTGTTATATGGATCATCTATTTAATTTTTTTTTCTTTTGCTGTTTGCTTTTGTCTAGTCCAGTGGAACCACTGGAAATATATCTCCCTGGTTTTGACCCCATAAAGTTCTTTTAGATGCCATATTTTAAAGAGAAGATGAAAACAAACAAACAAACACAAATCAAAAACAAAACAACAGAAGGGAAGGGCTAAAGGAAGGAACCCCCTATAACTATCTTCTCCAGAGTGTAGAATAAAGAGCGAAAGAAATGACTCACTGATTCTGCATTGGAAAGTGACATTCTGGTTTTGTGGTTTAGGCTTTTTTTTTTTTTCTTTGTAAGAAGCAGGCACTGGAACATGTTTACTTGACGACTGAATGCAACAATCAGGAAATAAAAAAAAAGAACCTCAAAGGAAAACTATCAGGAGCAACCCCACACTTCAGAGTTCAAGGGAGGATCCCCTCCAGGGACAGGAACAAGGGTGAGAATGAGAAAGCCTCGCCCCCTCCCCCTGAGGCACCTTTAGCATCAGCAATCACACTCTCCTCCCTCCCCTTCCCAAGGAAGGTGAGCTGCTGTCTCTTGTTCTGCCCCATCAAGAATAAACACATTCCAGTTTGGCGCTTCTGTGGGCTTAAGGCAAGGATAGCTGACTCAGTAATCCTCAGGGGCTCCCACCTGGTGGATGCCATGGCACGGACATGCGATGTCATCATGCTTCTCCGTGCATGACTATTAAATGACTCGAACTGCTCATTTGCTCCTCTCTCTCTCTCTCTCTCTCTCTCTCTCTCTCTCTCTCTCTCTCTCTCTGTACTGCTATTATGTAGCCTCTGTCTGGGCATATCGAAGCGTGGAGCAAAGACCCGCAGAGTACTGTATTTAGTTCCTGCTTGGCTGTGTTGACTTCTCCCCTTGGTGTCCCCGTGATGGGACCAAGTGCTGGGTTTATTTTGACCCGATGGCTCCCCTTGTCCTGATTCCAGGCTTCTCTATTTATGTTCGCCGGCTCTCTACAACCTCTGGAACCTTCTGGCCAAAGATTCTACACAGAGGTAGGGACACTGCTAGCCTCATCTCAGCAAGACCCCAGCTCTGCTTTATAGTGGCATGGCTCCAAACTGCCTTGCCTTGAAAGCCTCAGGGCAGGACACAGGTACTCCAAAGTTTTCACACTATCCCAGGGTTGTCTGAGCCTTTCTGTGATTTCTCTTCGGAAGAGGAAAGAAGAGATTCTACATAGAAGAGATTATCCCCTGGCTTCTGACCGTTTTTTCCTTATACTTTGCTTCTTCCTCTCTGGCAAGTGCTTGGATTCAGCTATGGCCTCTTTCTTGAGATAGCACACAGTCTGTGAGCTTAACCTTAAGGTATTGTATTTTCTACTCATTGGAGAAAGGTGATAGGATATAGGGGAGCCAGACATGTGCTCTAAGTTCAAGTCCCAGCATTAGTGGGTCCTGCAAGTGACGAAGCATGAAGGCACATCTCGTGCCAAGCATAGACTTTCTGTGACGGGTGTTTCAGTGTCCAGCATCCGGGAACACACTTGCTTTTAGCATCAAGGTAGAGATGTGTGTTGCCTGTGTGTGTGTGTTTGTGTATGTGTGTGTGTTAAGGGTGGGGATGGGGAGAATAGGCCGTTCTTCAGACCTAAAATCAGAAATGAGGAGAGTTGTATGAGAACTGCTTAAATGAAGATGTAGCAACATGCCTTGAATAGCTGCACTGTAGGCTTTCAATAAGTACGCCTATGAGTTCACATAACACTAGATCCAAAGTGCAGGAGACAGGGCAGCACCCAGAGCTCATCTTCCCGCTTTACTCAGGGCTGAAGACCACCAAGCACACAGCTATAGATGCATGACAGTTAGGACTTCAGTAGACTGCCCAGGAACCAGAAAAGGCTCACGTCCAAAGTCACAGAATCCCATGTGCTTAAGACATGGTGGCTCTATAAAGTGGCTATCAAAAATAGCTTTTTACATTTCTTTTTTTCTCCCCCCATGGGTCATGGGAGGAAGATACAATTAGTGTCTTTCCTTACAATTTGCAAGGATCAACGATTTCACTCTCAGTGTGGATGGACATTTTTACAATATGTTTTGCAAAAAACCGATTTTATTTGTAAAGTTTATGCAGTATGCCCTAGAACTTCAATAATAAATACATACTAAATATTGGCCTTAATTATTTATTAATTGCTATTACATGTAAAAATTTTGTGAAGAAATATTAATAGCTTGGGGTGTATATTTTTGTTGCTGTTGTTTGTTTCATAAGACAGGTCTACTCTGTAGTCCAGGTTGTCATTAAAATCCTCATGTACTCCAGGCTAACCTCAAACTTAGGAGTCTCTTGACATAAAATCCGTGATGCTGGGAATGCAAGCATGTACCACCACACCTGATTCCAACATTAAATAGATTTTAGGATTTAAAAGTTGAAGTATTACTAAGAATAAGAAAGAATCAGAAAAAATTGATACACAATGAGAAATAGAAATGAAGACACATAGTTAAAAAGCCTGTGGTGGGCTCAGTATGTCAAGCATACCTTTAATTTCAACACTGGGGCCGGTGAGGCAGAAGGATCTCTGTGAGTTTGAGGTCATCCTGGTCTACATAGTATGTTCCAGGACAGTCATGGCAATATACAGGGCTTTCTCAAAGCAAAACCACAAACAAACAAATGGACAAAATAAAAAAAATAAAACAATAGCTTGAAAGAGCAATAGATTAGGACAGGCAGATAAAGAATCAAGGCTGAGCTAGGATATACAGTGAGACCATGTCTCGACTTTTTTCTTCTTCTTCTTGGTAATGGGAGAAGTAAAAAAATATTAATGAAAACAGATTTTAATGAACTTTCATAATTTAACATTACGGAGATGTCTTACTGTGGATGAATGTACAAAGTCAGAAGAAAAATAGTGTAGATTTGATAGTTATTAGAAACAGATGCCAAATCAGCCACATGATAGAAAATGCTTCCCATTTCAGCACAGGTGAGGCTGAGGCAGGAGGATTGTGAGACTGAGGCTAGCCAGGAAAGGAAAACCTGTTTTTGTTTGTTTCTTAAGTAAAACAAAACAGATACAAGGTGAAATCATGAAAAGTTAATAAGCTTCCTCAAATACCAAAGTATGAAGATTAAATCCATATTGGGAAAAAATAAACTCAGCAAATACATTTCATTCACTTAGAAGTAATTCTCTAACTTAGAAGTGATTATCTAACTGCCAATCAAACACACAATGAAAGCACTATAAATAAAACATAGTTGTATAAATAATGTAACAAATAACAATTATTATCATTACTATTTACAGTGCTGTAGGTGGAACCAGAACTCTCTAATATGCCAGTCAAGTCCTCTATCAGAGAACATTAGCCACCCTTATTAGTAAGCATGTCATTATCAGCCAACGGCTCATCAGCAAAAGGAACATGCGTTTGTTTGTTTATTCATTATCACAAGGACGACTTCTTGGGTTCTTGGTTCTCAGCTCTGATATTCCTAAGGTCCTATGCTTTGCTCTGAAAGGCCATGCCCCTGGAAGAATTAACTGGACTTATTCTAGAAAAAGTAGGGTATAGACACTGGCCTATTGAGTTGAAGTAACCAAGCCTTTGGTCCCTAACCTGAGAAAAAGGTTCGCTTGAGAAATGTTTTGTGGTGGCAGGATCCTGGGTGTAGGGAAAACAAACAGAACAACAGGCTTGCCTCCAGTGACAGTGGGGAGTCCTGTGTGTCCACCCTAAGTTCACACAGAGAAACCACTGTCTACCACAGCAGAAAGAACCTGTGCAGTAAATGCCATCCAGTACAGCAAGCCAAGGACTAGCCCTTTTCTAATGGCCTTCGGCCATGTGCTCTACTCTGGCCAGTGAGAGATAGTGTTGCCCAAGATGGCTTTGCATTTGTGCCCCTGCCATGTGGCTCAGGAAAGGGAGTAGAGATCCAGGTTGGTTCACAAAAGTGAAAGAATAAAAACAACGTCATTTTTTAAATCAATTTATATATCAGTTATACAAAGTGACTTCAGATGTATGTGTTCTGCCTAGACAGACATGGTGTGGTAAACACCATGCACAGGGTGCTAAAGCGGAAGGGTGCTATTGCTCGGGATTAGAACATCCAGCAGCAGAAACAGCTGCTGACATGTGGACATATTTCAGCGTCAGAGAGGAATCTGCTTTACAGTCTACTGGTCCTCTGACTGTCTCGCTAACAGTGATATTAAGA